AGAGAGAGGAGAGAGAGAGAGAGAGAGAGAGAGAAATGTCCGTTACGAGGAATAAGATTTTTTTTACACGGTCGTCTCTCGGTATAGTATTAGAAAAAAAAATAAGATGCAACCAAAGTTTCATTTCCGCACGATCCGAATTTTGAAATTCTAGACCGCGAAGCACAATTTAGCATCGCCAGCCTAACAATTAGACGCATCAATTTACAGCATTACATTTTCTTTACGGACATCGACATCCGTATCGGTGATTACTACGGCATTAACGACCGAGGCAAACAAACCCAAGCGAATACCTAGGAATGCACACATAGCCGTGTAATTCCAAATAAAGTCGGTGGCGGAAAAATCTTACCAAGCGGTGCATTCGCCTCCAGTCTCCCTTTCCCATCCCCCCGCCCGCGCTTTCCCCCGCCTCTTACGTAAAATTGATGTGCAACCACGGCAGCGCGGATCGCGCCAACTGGACCCGCGCGCGCAAGTGTCCTGGGAACGGCCAACGTTTTCACAGGACCTTGGCGGACCGATCGTGACGTGCTCGTAGGCTGTCGGCCCCTAGCCTCCAACGCGCCCACATATGTAAACGCGCGACCTTAGTGCACACGTCGTGTCTGGCTCCAAATGCGACCGTCGGATGCTCCCCGAAGATTTTATCGACGCCCTTCGACACTTTTCCCGCTAATGGCTTTGACAATGCCACCATAATTGACTTTAAACTTAAAAGCGACAGACTTCGGACCAAATGCATTCGATCGATGCTGGATGCTCGAATCGCCAAGTATTCGCCAAGTCCGCTCTTTTCCACGAGGCTTTTCCCCCTTTTGCGTAATGCCGCGCTTGGGAGATCGCACCCGAATATCTTCATTCACGCTAACTCATACATCATAAAGCTTGGCAAGTATCGCGCAATTTTACGATGATCCAAACTCTTTAAATCACCTGGCTGCTGTATTATTTCAGCGGCAACTTTAACCGTTGATCGTATAGATACAGCGGCTCCTATAGTTAATGCACTTACATTTGCCTCTAATACGAATGCGTTACGATTCTTTTAATCGTAAAATGAAATTTTTAGAAATCATAAATTAATTTCGCCATCCAAATGTACGCAATAAGATGCATATTCAATTCTGTCACGGTAGACTCGAAATTCGATGCCCTTCTATTACCGATTCTTCAAATTCGCGCACGTATTACATTAAATTACATTGAAATTCTCAAAGTTGCATAATATTATCCATTATATTACTTTCATTAAAAGTTGCATTCGATAACATTTGCCTATTAGTGTAGTTGGCATGATTTTTCTCGACGTAACGCAAGCGACATGTAAATAAAAATAATCATATAGTATTACGTTGAATTTTAATAGTCTACGAGCAATGTATTTGCCCACGTATTGGCATCATTGGGATTGGTATTAGATGATTTTATATTGAAATTGAAAGCCCAATTAAATTTATAGGCACTTAAAGACGCTCTGGTATTGGCATTGTTAACCAATAAATGCAACGAATACGATGAAACGACGATGGTTGCTCTGAAACTTCAAAATTTACAATTTACATGGAGATACGGCGACAGGCTTATTGGAATGCGACGCACAACACACAAGCCAAAGTTCCAACTCTATTCGAGCCAAACGAGAGCAGCGTTACGTCGCTTCTAAGACTTCCCAATAAGACAAGAGGCCTCTTACAATCTCGCTTCTCCGTCTCTCAACGTCGCTCATCTCATACGAATGAGGGAACGAGTATCGATTGCCATCCTCGCCAGTGATAATCGCACGACGATCGATGCACCCGATAGCCGCGATACCCAGTTAGAGATCCAGTAAAGACCATTGGGCCGGGATGGATTACGTCACGCGGGAACGTCGAGGCCGAGCCGCGTTCACGTGGGCCCGCACGTTTGCACAATTTGCACGAGCGATTATGAGGCGGTGGTGGGCCCACGATTTAACGGTTCGATAGACGCGCGCGCGCCCTTTGCCCTATCCGAATATGCCGGCTACGTTACCACGAAATATGGGCTCTTTGTTTTTTCAAGCGTAGCTCCAGCCGCCAAAGTTGGTCTTAATTAATTTTACGCGAACTTTCGCCGAAAGTGGTTTCGCTTAATTTATTATGCCGAGGATTTGCACTTTTCAATCTCGATACATTAAATAACAAAATGAGCTAGTTTGCTTTCTAGTTGTGTGATCACTTGGCCCATACTACTACTACTACTTCTACTACCACTACTACCACTCTACTATTGCTACTTGTACTACCACTACCACTACTACTACTACTACTACTACTACTACTACTACCACTACTACTACCACTATTACCACTCTACTATTGCTACTTGTACTACTACTACCACTATCACTACTACTACTACTACTACTACTACCACTACTACTACTGCTACTGCTACTATCCCTATTACTACTGTTACTACTACTGCTACTATTAGCACATACAATAACACATTAGGAGCAATTTCAGATGTCGCAGCGTTATGACATACATTTCCGTTGATTCCAATTATAATTCTATATCGCTAGAAATATTATTCACGAAACTCTTTTAAACAACAAGAACGAGAAAATAAAAATGAAAAATAAAAACAAACGAAACAGAAATCAATTTTTTTTTTAAATATTTACACATATATACGTTTGTTTAATATATTACAATGAGTCATACGCGATCAGATATAATCTATGTATAGAGGGTACCTTAGCTAGTAGTAGCATAAAAAATTGTAACTATGACTTTTTTATTCGTCGAATCAATAACTTAATCGTTATATAAGTAAGTATATTGTAAAGAAATTTGATATCAAAAGCGAAGAAATATTTAAAATTTTGATTTTACAATGGGCGTTATGAATATTTCGTTAATTATTTACATTGATTAGAGGAATAAGTAGTGTAAAGACGAGCACGAGAATATAATTCATATATTTCAAAGTAGTAATTGCGTTAAAAGTAAGGTTTGGTATGCTTATGACGTACCCTATTAAATGCTTAAGAAGAGAATTTTTCAGTGAAAGTTATTTCAATAAAAAGTCTTCAGCTTGATTATACATGAAATTTATCGATATTAGTAATGTAACAGGACAGCTTACACCTAGAATATAAAATAAAATGCTAGTTTAAGCTTTGTACGCATGAGAAATGCGACTTTTGTATTCCTAGGCATTAGCATAACACTTAAAATCCCATACAAGAGCACTTTCTGCTTTCATACCTTAAAGGCCACAATTTTATCGTTGCCATAGATTAGCATATAGTGGTGGTGTATGGTATAGTCTATGGAGAGGTAGGTCCTCTCATCTTTTAAGATTAGCCATGGCTATTCTAACGTTGTGGTCGATGTGTTCAGGCATTCATTCCTCGTCATGCTTCAAAATTAACGTTTCATGAACGTGCAAATAGCTTATTTACTTAGACGTTAGTTTTCGCAAACCCTCTTCACTCTCATTGGCGATCGCTAACGATAAAATGTTGTCGTTTGAATTATATAATTGTGCAAACCAGTGAGCATTATTTTCATCTAATAATAAACTCAACATTTATATCGCATATCGCACGACTGCCGCCCAATCGCGATTATACGACCCGCTTATATTGTATTATTATGAAAAACCATGATAAAACTTGTTGATTCGCTCCCTTCAAAATTCCATTTCACTCTGAGCATTCACATATTTGCTCGTGTTTCTGTAACTTACGTGCTCGTTCTATTAATACCGGAATTTATTAATTTATGCAAATCTTTGCGGTTTTGGTAATCAGCGTAATGTCTCGCGGTGAAATTTGTATTTTTCGTGTCAATGACATTAAGGGAGAGAGAGAAAAACGATGAAAATAATTTGACTCGCCGATTATAGAACTAAGACATTTAATTATACAAATAAAACGTATAATGTCATATTTGAATAAATACATAATTTATAAAAAATAATTCAATTGTCGGAAATTACATCAATGTCTCTTCTCCTCGATGCGACAAACTTGTTGCTCAATGAACTATTTATGTTTACATAAATAACGGGAATAAATTATAGCTACAAGAATTTGATCACGCTAGAATATAATGGCTGTATGTTCAACAAAGCAAGGAGATTATCAGAAATTGCATCGGAAATTCTTACAATCGATGAATCATTGACTCGCTTACACCTATTAACGTATTACGAGAAAAAAAAAAAAGTATAACAATTAGCCAGGACATCGTGTGGCTACTGGTAACGTAACTAAAAAAGACGAGTGTAGAGCAGAATTGTTGCAGTTGCAAGTTTACGATGGCAATATGAGGGTGGGACGGAAGGAGGGTGCGATGAAGGTGAGGGGGGGGGGGAGTCTAATAGCAAAAAAAGTAAAGAATGTACGCACGTACGCACAAATTTCTCTAATAACTCAAATGTATCAAATTTTCCAGCAGGCAGTGCAGGATAATGATATGGCATTTTGCTTTATGACGCGAGGAGCCGTGAGAAAATTGCGTTTCCAACGAGCGGCGATTGGGATTTTTTGCAGCATCTTCATTTTGCTGTCAATGACGAGTGCTCGGAACAGTGGGATTTAATGCCTGCATAGCCCGAGCAATTGCGGCATTAAAGGAACCAGCGGAGCTTGTGAAAGTCTTCACCGATTTTAAGCTCATCAATGTTAAACGTCGAGAGGAATGAGCGCATTTTTCGAATGAAAGCGCGACACTGGTCGTCGCCGCTTAAAGCCCAGTCCAACACAAAGAAAACAAACAAAAACTTTACTTACCGGCTGGATGTGCGGGATATCGGAGGGCGATATCGCAGCCACGGCCTTGGAGTCGACTGACTTGCCCAGCTGCAGCACCAACAGGAGGAAGATCGCCCCGGGGTAGCGTAGTTTCCGCCACATGCTGGTGATTATACGGCTCTTATAATCCCGCGAAGGACCGAACGAGGATGGTTTCGAGGACCGGAAGATTGTCGAACGCGACACACGTCCCGGCTATGAACTCTCAAGGGGGGTGAGGGGGGGGGGTTAAGAGGTACTAACGGCGGCGGCGGCGGCGGCGGCGCCTGCGATGGCTGTTGCTGCTGCTGCGGCAACGGCAGAGGGAGGGGAAGGGCTACACCGATGAGCAGTGCGCGCGTTTTTGCCGAGTTTCGGCGCTGCCAGGGAGAGATCGAGACTGCGGGAGATCGGAAAACGCCAGGGAGTTTTACTTCCCAGGCGGGAAGAGCCGAGGCCGGGAGGTGGGAGAGCGAGCGGACGGTGAACGTAACTCAGCGAGCCACTCGCACTGCCCGGGGCCGGGGCTTAGGCCGGGGTAACACCCACGCGGGGACGCGTCCCAAAACCTCCGGGCCATCAAAATTGTCGTGCCTCGCGGTGTCCGAGTTTGCGTTTGGAGATGGCTTATTGGCATTGCCGTAGCCGCGCTATGCGCCTTATCACTTGTCCTTACCACTTATAGTTGAACAAATATTATTGATTGCCGGTGGGTTACAAACAGTATGAAAAGCCAATTGCTTACGATCGTTGGGAATTTGAATGAAATGAATCTACGGTTTCTTAAACATAGTCATCCAATTTTCAAATTAATCATAATAGCAGTTTGAATAGGAAAAAAAAAAGTATTTTCCATAACATTGATTAATAATGTTATATTAATTACAAGAGTAGAATTACAACTATTGATGCTTATAAGTAGAAAAACCCAAGATGGAACAATAGTTTAATCTAATGATGTTTCATAATAGATCGTTATCCGTTTACTGACATAACAATTTTTCAAATATCAAACTCGAACGTAAAATATTATTCTTACAGATATTTCAATTTGCAAATAATTTTAATTATCATTTCAATGACGACCTACGAATCTTTAATTCTATATAAAACTAAAGATCATAGTTTATTTACTATTGTGTTGCATTATTTATTGAATTATTGTTCAATTACCACTATAAAAATTATACTATAAACCTTATCGTCAGTTTTCAGTTTCAATAATTTTGGTAAACAAACATTGAAAGTAATAAATTCTTATTTTTTTGTATTTTTCGCATGTTTAACATGAATCATTGACAAGTATTTAAAGCTATCAGCTATTGCCATAAACAAAAAATGTTTACATCTAATTATAAAAACGAATATTTTTATATTCAAATAATGTTGTATTAGAGAAAAGTTAAGAAAATTTGCAATAATTCATTATTACGTGCAAAATTTCTTTTAATATGTTGTTATAAGCAGCGGCAATACATTGTTCATTATAATCCCTATTTATTTGATTATTGTATTATTCTAACATTTTTTTTTTTTTTTACAACACATAAACTTTATAATATTTTATAACCTATTTATTCAAATTGATAATATTTTTTCTAAATTAAATAGCTATTTTGAACAATATATGTATATATATATATATCCAAAGATTTTAAATGTTCTCGGAATTTTAATATTAAAATAATTAATATCAAAATAATACACACTACATTCTAAACAAATAATTGGACTGGCCAGTCTCAAATCAGCCTAATCAATTAAAAAGTCAAATGTTTTCTCATAAAATTACATAAATTATTGTACGTCTACGTCTACATCTACATCTACATTCAGGCCATACCTATATGGAAAAAAAGCATATTTTAATTTCTGGCATCCGAAAACGCGTTTCAGTGATGTAATGCCTAAACTTTCTTTTTGATGATTTTAATGTAAACTGAAAGATATTTTATGCGGAAAGATGTCGAGATACAATTTTTTTTCTCTTCGATTTCTGTTTAATAAACTTACTGTAATTTTACGAATTTTGTACATTTTAAAGAGCCTAATATCTTTGATTTATGTAAGAACGGCAATTTTCATTATTAAGATGTAGAAAGAAGAATTCTTAACATTTTAATTTTCAAACCATTTAATAAGTAGGCGTAAGGAAGAAGTTCATTGCACCATTCAATTTTCTGTTACTCTAGTTGAAGATAATCGAAACGCCCATTGGGAGAATATTAAACTGCATGGTTTCTAGGATGACCCATCTACGCTTTGAATATTTATATAAAAATTATTAATATTACAATGTTTTTTTAATTTTTGGATAATACAATATATATATATATATAAAGCTTTTTAATGAATATTTTCACGTCAGATAAGTAACTATTTGAACGCTTTATTTATTAATAATGAATTAATAATTTCTACTTTGTGTTAATCGCATGCTTATCGATTGATAAATGTTTAAATTAAATATGAGTGATTTTAAGTTCCACTTGAATCGATAAGATAATTAATATGAATATATAAAGTGTCAAACGTTAACTTTCTCTATTATCAATAAATTCCTATTCTCTTAATTCGTTAAGTAAGAGACAAGCCATCGTTATAAGGCAATCGTAACGAAATAGACAATGTAATTGCAGAATAAAATTTATTATCGATAAAATATTGTTTATAATGTTGAAAAAAATATTACCGGGTGATGAATGATTTTTTTGTTTGCCAAAATCCTTGTTCACATTCAGTAATATAATTCGAGATTTTGTTAAAATGAAAGTATGTTATAATTCAGAAAATGTTTGAGATGTTTGAGCTTTGCAGCGACTTTCGGATGGCCGATATAGATATCGAATAGGCCTTTTCGATGAATTTCATTTCGAGTTACGTATATTTTTTTATGGGAGGATTGGTACCTCGAACTGTTCAAAATAAACACGAAAAACTAAAACAAAAATAACATTTATCATAATAAGTGTTGTATTATCTTTAGGAAAGTGATACTATCTAAATAGACCAATGTAAAATAAATTTTCATGTTTTGAATTTACACATTACCTCGTGTCTTTCGATTATTTTTCTTTCTTCACAATTCACACCTCAACATAAATATATGGATTATGCATACTCCAAGCGTTTTCACTCATTTATTAATATCGTTGCTTAAAGAAACGGTTGAATTACTATTCGTAATCCGAATAAATGGACGATATGTACATGTTGCGGATGTTTTTATTATTTTATCTTTTTATTTGTTATTGAAGAATAAAGTCACAAGGACGTAATGTGTAATAAAAGTACTTTATAATAAAATAATAATCACATAAATTATTATTATTTTGTGAATATTAACGATAGCCGTTATATTGAAATTTCTGCTAATTGAGTTTATGACTTGATTAACGATATTACACATAATGACCCTTATGGAAATATCGAACATTATACATCTAATGATTTGTCATCTTATTTTTAATAGCTAATATTGATGATACGTTTAATGGAATATGCGCACAAGTGTGTAATAATGAAAGTCAAAGGACCAAAACGGAATTCGCTGTCGATTTTACGGTTAAAGATAACGACTACATTTGTACAAGCGTATTGTCTCGTAGGTAAGAAAAAGAGTACGATCGTCTCTCATTTTGTCTATTGTTTGAGTTTCGTGAATTCATTTTTCATGAGAAATGTTCGGATGACGACGAACGTACTTGGATGCATTGCGAAAGGAAATTATACGATCTTTTAATGAATGCGTGAACGAGCGCGTACCGAAAAAAAAAGGGGAAAAAAATACAGCGAGGCTCGTTAATGGCAATGCATAAATATATGATAAAGTCTGGATAAAAATAGGAACCGCGCGGGAGAGAAAAGAAAAATGACGGGAGCTGGGCGTCACCGAGATTTTCTTCCGGTGCAATTTGGCTACCGCCGACACGTTGCCTGACAATGTGATAATTGCAATGAGCTGAGCACTCACGGTTGTTACGTAAATGCTAAGAAAAGAAAAGAAAATGTAACGATATCATCAAGAATCGACCGAATGAATGAACGAAACGAATGAGAGAGATGGACAACTCTCCTGGGAATTACACGAATAACATACTGCGGAGATATTCTTCTCAAGAATTGTGTTAAGCCTGTCGAATGGGCCTATGATAATGTCAATATAACTTCGAACATCAATGAATACCTCGGACAAAGCATATAGTGGTTGTGCCTAATGGGCGGGGGCGGGGCTGGACGATTCTATGAGGGGGGGGGCGAGGGGGAGAGAGGATACGGTCGAGTGAATATCGCGCAGACGAGAGACGAAATTTATGCTTCGATCTATTGGCCATGATGTTCTTACTTTACACGGCATACAATTAAACTGTCGTATTATCTGCTACTTGATGTGGCACATGAAAAGGGTCTTCCTCTCCTTTTATCCTTCGCTTATATTCGCCGGAAACAATGGCTTCTACACTTTGCCTGGCTACTATTGCGTCCTCCTCTTATCGGCGTAGAACGTACGAACAAGCGATTGTTCACTGTCACGTATCAGGAGGTTTTCGAAACTTTTTAGATTTTGACTTTCATTTTTAATAGCCGACGTTGGGATACATGATGCAAAATGAAAACTATAATCATTTAATTTCAAGGAGTCATGACGGTATTAATTTTACAAAGTATTCCATCTCCCTCGCTCCTTTGTCACGCTTGTTTTCCTGTTTGAAATTAATGCTAATTTAAAAATAGAAACGTCGCAATTTCTATTTCGTTTGTTAAGTTAAAACGTGGATATGTTGGTAAGAATAAAGTTAATTTAATGCTATAGGTTTCTTTTGTGCAATTTTCTAGAAAAAAAAAAAAAAAAAAAAAATAGGGAAGAATAAAAAAAAAATTAAAAATAAGGGAAGAAGAAGAAAAATTACAATATTAACGGACACCTCTTCACTCTTAGATAAATTGCATTCAATATATTTATAGCATCTATTTAAAGATTCTATAATAGTAATAGTAATAATAATAATAATAATGATGATGATGATGATGATGATGATGATGATGATGATGATGATGATGATGATGATGATGATGATGATGATTATGATTATGATTATGATTATAGTAGCAACAATAATAAT